TACAGTTTCAAGTAGCCAAAATGTCCCTCTTTTCCGTGTTCCTCCGAGCTAATGGTCCCCAGCCTCAAGGTGGCTGTATGGCAGAAGCTGTTAGTAGAAATAAAACCCAAGTCCACATTCTGAGGCTATAGCCCCACTGAGACAAGTTTTTCCTGGAGGAAGAGTTCAGGAGTCAGTGGCGTGTTAATGCAGAAAAACTGTCATTGTATTTCCAGGTTCTGGCTGCCTCTAGACACACCCAAGAGCGAGAGTCCATTTCCCTCTCAGCATGATGGAGAGACCCTGCTCACAGCAGGGAAGTTGAGACTTCTCGGTTCTGTCTCTCATCCTGATGTCTAGTCATTCTGTGACTGTGGCTAATTCATGTAGCTCTGTGCCTCAGTTTACCTATCTGGACAATGGGCATATGTTCATAGTCACTGTCCTTTGCTGGGAGTTTTGAAGATCCTTCAACAAAAGGGGCTGCCCAGTTATTGATGAGAAATCCTGATCTTTGAACCGTTACTCACTGCCTGCAGAAAGTGTGTGTGTTTCCCTTCAGTCATCTACTTCCATCTCTTCCTATGGAGAGCTGATTAGTTTCCCAAGTTTTTCTTCCTAATCAACTGTAATTTTTAAATATACAAAAATACACAGAACAGCCAATTTCACCAGCACCATGCACATGAGTTCTCCTCTCCCCTGGGAAAGTCCTGTAATTACAGATTACTCCTGAAGATGTATAATTAACACACACTCTAATTTGTTTATATCCAGCCTGTTTACATCCAGCGGCTCGCTTCTCTCGTAGAGATTTCCAGAGCCGACTGGGATTGCCCAGAGATATATTATAGATAGTGAGCACCCGTGTGTCGGCTTTCCATGTGAGGTGCTCCAGGTGATGCTGGGCTCAGAGACATGTGGGAACCAGAGATGTGAGGAAGATTCTCAGTGACCTTGCAATTCACAGGGCCCCATCTCTTGCTGAAGATGACCCTGCTCAGCAAACCAACTAGAAGTTAGATGTGATGGGATAGAAGGTAAGTCTGTGGTCCTGTCTGCTCTGCACAGCAATTAAATATCCCAGGGCCCATGCCACAGGGCATATGTTTGCTACAGTTTCAAGTAGCCAAAATGTCCCTCTTTTCCGTGTTCCTCCGAGCTAATGGTCCCCAGCCTCAAGGTGGCTGTATGGCAGAAGCTGTTAGTAGAAATAAAACCCAAGTCCACATTCTGAGGCTATAGCCCCACTGAGACAAGTTTTTCCTGGAGGAAGAGTTCAGGAGTCAGTGGCGTGTTAATGCAGAAAAACTGTCATTGTATTTCCAGGTTCTGGCTGTTAATGGTGTTGGGGCTGTTACTTAACTTGTATCTGCTGAAAAGCAGGGACGTGCTAGGACTCCTCATTAGACAATTATGCAGATTTCTCAGCTTGTCCCGGACTTCTCCTCTCTTCCCTGCATTTGAGAAGTTGGCTGAGCTGTTATATTTTATTCATCTTAGAGCGGACGCCTAGTGGGAGCAGTTAAGGTCCAAATGCTTAGAACTTTGGCGAATGTACAAGCACTAGAAAACGAGGGCTTGTAACAAAATGTGGTGTCTACACTGCACCGTATCTTGAAATGAGACACAATTTGAGCTACATAAATTGTGTAGCTTATTTTGATGCTATTTCAAAATAACTTATTTTGTCATTTGGCTCTGTCTACACGGCACCAAATTTTGAAATAAACCGCTAGTCCAAAAGGTCCCTTACTCCTCATAGAATAAGATTTACAGGGATGTTAGAATAGCAACAGGCTTGCAGTGAAGACTCAGGATACCTATTTCAGGATATACTGGTATCCCGAAATAGCATTGCAGTGTATACGTACCCTCAATGTCCAATCCCTTTAGGAATCCCATTCAGCTATGCTTTTTTCCTCCAATAATATCAGTGGCAAGGTATTATAAAGGCTGTCTGGCTAGTATGAAAACAATGATCTTCCATCATTGTTATATAATCAGACTGTCAGTGTAAGTCACAGCACTCTTGTCTGTGTGCTGTGGAAGAGGATAAATGTGAGTGCCTGATACAGCTTTCTAAGTCAAGGCCAAAAGGAACCATTCGATCATGCAGCCCTAATTCCTGTATCACACAGGACATTGCATTCCACTGAGTTGCATTGACCATTCATTATGAGTGGGAAATAGGTCAATGGAGGGATGATAGGAGTTATTATAGAGAACTTTCTGGGTGTCTGGCTGTTGAGTCTTGCCCACATGCTCAGGGTTTAGCTGATCGCCATATTTGGAGTCGGGAAGGAATTTTCCTCCAGGGTAGATTGGCAGAGGCCCTGGAGGTTTTTCGCCTTCCTCTGTAGCATGGGGCACAGATCACAGCTGGAGGATTCTCTGCATCTTGGGGTCTTCAAAGTATTTGAAGGCTTCAATATCTGAGATCTAGGGGAGAGGATTATTCTAAGAGGGGTGGGTGAGATTCTGTGGCCTGCACTGTGCAGGGGGTCAGACTAGATGATCATAATGGTCCCTTCTGACCTTAAAGTCTATGAGTTCCCCCTGTACTGGGCTCCACAACTTGTGATACACTCAAACCAGGTCTGACTAGGATTTTACATCTTGGAATCGCAGAGCCACGGGTGAGAAGGGACAGTAAGGGAGATCTTTTTGAGTAAATCTGTCAAGTTGCAAGATTTACTGACTTTGAAGCATCCAGGTTTCCCCCTTTGGAAAACCTTCATGGAAGTTTCTGCCACGACCTCCCAAGGCGTCTGTTCCATTGTCCTCCTCTTCTGACAGTTAGGTACTTTTTGTTTCTTGAAGTTTCATCTAAATCTGCTCTGCTGAAATTTGAGCCCCTTGTCTCTTCTCCTGGGTGATGTAGCAGGGGAGATCATTTCTTCATTTTATCTATGGCAGCCTTCCATGCATTTGAACACTGCTATCATGTCACCCCTTAATCTCCTCTTTCCGCACTCAACACACCCAATATCTCCAGGCCTGTTTTTCACATGGTTTGTACGGCCTCCTGGGGACCATCTGCGTCTCCCGCTTCTGGAGCCTTTCCAGTTTTTCAACGTTCTTTCTACACACCAGTGCCCCAACCTGAACACGACACCCCAGCCAAGACCTGGCCAGCACCAAGTAGTGGAACACGCTTCTCTCCCATGGCTTGCAGGCTACTCCTCTGTCAGTGCCACCCAAACTACCTTTTACATTTTTTATAACAAAATTATCCAAGCTCTGAACATTTGCCTGTCATGATCTAACCTTAGTGTAGACAGCATGAGGCCAATTCTTCCATTGACCCAGCTCCCACCACTCAGTGAGGTGGATTTCCAACAGTGACGGGAGAACCCTTGCTGTCCATGTAAGTCAAGTCAACACTGAACCATGAGGGCTTCATAACTGTACCTTTTAGGAGTAGACAAGCCCTCAACAGATCTTCCGGAAAAGCCTCCAGTTTGGATCTGCAGACATGGAAAGTTGGAGAATGAACCATTCCCCTCTGTAGTATGTTCCCATGGTTACTCATCCTCAGTGTTTATTCTGAGTTCATTCTCTTATGATCACCTCAGTGCTAAATGTTTCCTCCTATTTCCAGCTGGAATTTGTCTGGATTCAGCTCCCAGCCTTTGAGTGTTGTTCTGCCTTTCTCTAGATCGAAGACTGTGTTATTACTCACTATTTTCTCCTCATGAACATCTCACTTGATAATCTTTTTAGTAAGGTCGATGGAGCTCTATGCATCTCTCTCACTTTCCGGCATTTTCTCCAGCCTCAAGTCATTTTGGTGGCTCTTCTTTGCACCCTCTCCAGTTGTTCAACAACCTTTCCAAAATGTCGACCCTAAACCTGGATGCACTGAGAGCTCATGATGAGTTTATCCATTAAATGTATGCCCAACTGATACTGTGAAGCGCCTTTTTTTTTCCTGAATGTTTTCTTTCATTAAATCCATTGCCTCAGAGAAACCAAAGCCTATTGCATCTGTTCAATTCTCTTGACCAACCAGAATGGAATCGAGTTTATTTGGGAAAACCTGTTGTTGACTGACATTAATTATATTCCCAGAATTTTTAACTAATATCTCTTAATTAGATTTTGTTCTGCAGCTTTCTGATTGTCTGCCACTGATTTCTAATGAGATATGTGGGTGATCGGTCAGTGTGTAACTCTGATGCTTTTAACTCTTACGTTTTATTGAACATGCTTTTTAACATCCTCCTTGACTTCTGTGACATGAGAACCAAACCCTGTTTCTTCCCAAATGCAGAACAAATCTAGTTCTTGAATCTAGTTCTACCTTTTCAGCAACATTAACAAGTTAATTTTCTCTCTCAGAAATGGGCCTGACCTTTTTTTAGGATTTCTTTTTCTTTTTACTTTAATATATATAATATCCCCCTTCTTGTGATTCTGAGACCTGCCAAACATGTTTTAATGTCCCTTGTTGTAGCCAGACATGAACCCCCACTTTAACATCCATCTTTGTCTGCTTGAAAGCATGCAGGGCACACAGAGCAGTAAAAACAGCATGATCTTTGAAAACCTTGGAGCAGGAGGTTTAGATATGCTGGCTCAGTGATCATGGACAACTGTAAGCAGAGATAAGAGGGTGGTCAAACTAATCGCTGACCAAGAGGCTGCAGAGGAGTGCCCTTGACTTAACCCATATTGATACGAACACACAGCCGTCCGCGGGGGGAGGAATCTCCCTCCCAGCAAAGAATATCCGGCACTCCTAATTTAGCTATCTTCCTCTCTTACAAGTTTAAATTATTTGAAATTCCCTTGTAAGAACTGGTGCCACAAAACGGACTAGTACAATTTGGCATCTTAAGATAAGAAAGAGAATACGGGCCCCCAGGGGTATAAAGATGGGTCCAGCAGCACATTTACTCTGAGCGTCAATCTACCATCTATCTGCTGGTCGGGTTAGGAGTTTGATCTCCCGAGGTTCCACCTCGTATTCATCTTTCCTAGGAATTGAGAGACCGGCCCTGGCCTGACATGCTGGAGTTGAGAGGCACAGAAGGAGGTAAAAATTGTACCTGGATGTGGTCCTTTGTTTAAGTATATATATATATATATACACATCATGTTACAGCTCTTTAAAGATTAAGCTGTCATTTGGTACCATTATTTTCTATCTTTATTTTCTTTGTAACCATTTTCTTTTAAGGTCTATATTTACTAGCAGTTAAGAAATAGAGCAATAGCCATTGTAACCATATGATTTATAAGCTTCTTTAATAAACCTGTAACTGTTTAAGCTTTAACCTGACTCCTTCAGTTACTGTAACAGAACCAAGCACAATTTAAAAGAACTTCAGCCGGTCATAAGGGACAGGTATAGGAAGAGCTTGGGCGTTTGGATCGTGCCACTCCCAGGTGACAGATCCGTTGGGACATCTCTCAGTCTTTCCTAGACTGCCCGCTGCGAAGGGATCCTGTATCCTAGCAGCTAAAATCTGAGGTATAATAAGCTCTTCCTATAAATAAAGGGGCGTCTGTCGACCTGCTGGTTGCCCTCTGCGATGGGATCCCGGTCCTAGAAGTAAAGGCACGGACGTTAAACTTTCAGGGTGCCCTTCAGCCTCCTAGGCTGCCCGCTGCGACGAGACCTTGTGTCTTAGCAATTAAAGACTTGGGTGTCACATACACACACACACTGCCCTGACCGTCGGCTGACACTTGTCAAATTTCATCACTTCCAAAACATGTTGCTTGCAATCTATTTTTCTTTTATGCTGTTAGTTATATATTGGTTTCTTCCCTTCCCTGTCCTTTAATTGCTGCAAATGAACTGAATTTTTAGCCAAAGTTGTGCACTTTTAGATTGTGGAATTGAGGATGTTTGCCAACTAATAAACACTTATCAAAGAATTCCCATTTTAAAATGTTTTTTCCCTGTCTACATTTTTTCTCTGACTCAGATGTGCTGATAATTTGCCTCAGCTTTGGGGAATTAACCCCCAAGTATCTGCAGCTATTACTTACTGGTTGGGAGCTGTTCTCTGTTCATCTACGGGCGTGAAATCAGTTCCAACCTTTTATTTTGTTCTCCTGACTCAGGTGCTCTCTTTGCATCTTCCCAAAATGAACCAGTCCCTGACTTTTCAGTCTGTCCACACATGGTCACCCCTGCATCTCACAACTTTTCTCAGAACCTCTTTTCTATCACCTATGTCCTCCATAGAGACTGGGTGACCAAAACTGAGCTCTTGTCCACAGCAAGTTATTCTCTACCCCACTCCTTTGGCAACTGAGTGGATGGGGGTCACCCTACAGCACAGACCTTCTAGCTTGGGTTTCACTGCCATAAGAAATAATGAGGGATACCCAGTATCACACTCCTGTTTCCTTATAGACATTATTAAGATATCCAGCATCATGATGTTTACGAATTACACATGAAGGAAGAATGATAGAATAGGACATTGGCATTGGCCTTGGTAAGGGTAGTTATTCATAATTCATTTCTCTAAATGATGAAAATACCATTTATCACTGTGTAAAGCCCAATCTATCTGCTTCACCCATGACAGCAGCCTCCAGTAGTGCATGTTGTGTCTCATGTTAACATTATGTCTCCATCCAGGCATTTGTACTGCGACCATCACCCTGGAGCCTGGGAATATACAAGACATCAGACGAAAGTTCGATAAATGCAGGAGACATTGTTCTGTCTCAGAGTTGGACGCCTTCCCCCCTGCTCCATGTCAGATTCCAACGCAACCCACTTCACCAACCCCTCCACCTTCATCCTGCTGGGCGTTCCTGGCTGGGAGTCAGCCCATGTCTGGATCTCCATCCCCTTCTGCACTATGTACACCATTGCCGTCTTGGGGAACTTCACCATCCTGTTCGTTGTGAAGCGGGAGATGAGCCTCCATGGGCCCATGTACTATTTCCTCTGCATGCTGGCTGTCAGCGACCTGATCCTGTCCACCTCCATTGTGCCCAAAACACTGAGCATCTTCTGGTTCAATTCCCGGGAGATTGACTTCAATGCCTGCCTCACCCAGATGTATTTCATTCACACCTTCTTGTCGATAGAATCTGGGATTCTTGGTGCAATGGCTTTGGATCGCTATGTGGCCATCTGTGATCCCCTGAGACATTCCACCATCCTGACAGACCCTATGGTGGCCAAGATTGGCCTGGCCGTGATCGGGCGGTGCACTGTGCTTGTACTGCCTACTCCCTTCCTGGCGAGGCAGTGGCCGTATTGCAGAACTAACATCATCACCCACACGCACTGCGAGCACATGGCCGTGGTGAAGCTGGCCTGTGCCGACACCCGCATCAGTAATTACTATGGCCTTTCTGTGGTATTCTTAGTTACTGGGGTGGATGCCATTATTATCACTGTGTCCTACACCCAGATCCTCAGGGCCATCTTCAGTCTTCCCACAAAGGAGACTCAGCTCAAGACGTTTGGGACGTGTGGCTCCCACCTCTGTGTCATATTAGTCTTTTACATCCCGGGTCTCTTCTCCTTCCTCACGCACAGGCTTGGCCACAATTTGGCCCTGCATTTCGAAGTTCTCATTGCCAATGTGTACCTCTTGGTGCCCCCCATGCTAAACCCCATCATCTATGGGGTGAGGACCAGACAGATCCGGGAAAGGCTGCTCACACTCTTTACTCAGAAAGGGGCCTAACATTTTCTACTTGTGCTACAGATCACACACTAAGTTCTCTTCAGATCTGGTTGGTGATGTCGGGCAAAGACCTCTTTCCTGAATCACTTACTAGACAGACATTAAGTACTCTCCTGTCTGTACTGTGCTATTTCAGTGTGACAGACTAGAGAACTGATCTGAGTACAACTAGGGAAATACAACATAGATTGGGCTACTGTAAGTTGGGTGCCTACCTGGCTGAATAATTGTTCTCAGACAGTAGTTATCAGTGGTTCACAGTCATACCAACAGGATATAACGTGTGGGGTTTTGCAGCAACCAGTTTGGGGATAGGATCTGTTCAATATCTTCATCAATGATGTAGATAATGGCATAGAAAATGCTCTTAATAAGGTTGCAGATGATACCAAGTTGGGAGGGGTTGCAAGTGCTTTGGAGGATACGGTTATAATTTGAAATGATCTGGACAAACTGGAGAAACGGTCTGAGGTAAACACGATGAAGTTTAATGAGGACAAATGCAAAGTGCTCCACTTAGGAAGGAACAATCCACTTCACACACACAGAATAGGAAATGATTGTCTAAGAAGGAGTTCTGCAGAAAGAAATCTAGAGGTCATAGTGGACCACAAGTAAATGTGAGTCAACAGTGCGATAGTTTTTCACACACACACACACACACACACACACACACACACACACACACACACACACACACAGAAAATAATTGTGCAATATATTAAACACACACACAGAAAATAATTATGGGCTACATTAACAGGAATGTTGTAAGACAGGAGAAATTATTCTTCTGCTCTGCTCCATGCTGATTATGTCTCATCTGGAGTATTGTGTCCAGTTCTGGGACCACATTTCAGGAAAGACGTGGACACATTGGAAAAAGTCCCAAGAAGAACAATGAAAATAAATAAATATTTAGAAAACATGACCTATGTGGAAAGATTTTTTTTAAAAGGGGGTGTGTGTTTAGTTTGGAAAAGACAAAGACTGAGGGGGCACATGAGAACAGTTTTCAAGTACAGAAAAAACTGTTAAAGGAGGAAGAAGAAAATTTTTTTTGCTCTTGTCCTCTGCAAATAGGACAAGAAGCAATGGGCTTAAATTGCAGCAAGGGAGGTTTAGGTTGGACATTAGGAAAAACTTCCTACCTGTCAGGGTGGTTGAGCACTGGAATAAATTGCCCAGGGCAGTTTTGGAATCTCCATCCCTATGTATGACTGGGTTGCCTCTTGCTCACAGGTTAACTCTGTTTTATATTAGCAAAATCGTGGTCATTGCTATCTAGGCCTCAGGCTTCATACCCGGCCTGTGATTCATGGGCCTATGTTTCAGGCCCTCATCTTACTGCAACAGGGCAATTAGGGTAGGGCAGAAGCATCACAAAGAAAAGAACCAGCCTAGCGAGGTAGACAGATTTTCCAATAGCCAGCGTTGATAACAGTGAAACTGGATATTTAGGGAGGCTGAGGAATGCCCATTATGGGAGGTTTAAGCACAGGATGGACAAACGCCCATAAGAGACGAGCCAGGTTTCCTCGGCCCTGCCTCAGCATGCGGATGGTGAGGCTGGCTGCCCCTTCCACCTCATATTTTAGATACTGCTTAGAAAAAGACCCATCTCTATATTATCATCAGAGGTGTCACCCATCCTCTGACCCTAGCGTCTCATAGGAACATTGTCTCTCCATCCAGGCATTTCTACTGCGACCGTCACCCTAGACCCTGGGCACATACAGGACATTAGTGGCACATACAGTTCATGCAGGAGACATTTTTCTGCATCAGATGTGAACACCTTCTCCACTACTCCATGTCAGATTCTAACATCACCAACCCCTCCACCTTCATCCTGCTGGGCATCCCTGACCTGAAGGTGGATCATGTCTGGATCTCCATCCCCTTCTGCACCATGTATGTCATAGCCCTCTTGGGGATCTTCACCATCCTGTCAGTCGTGAACATAGAGCCAAATCTTCATGGGTCTATGAATTATTTCCTCTGCATGCTGGCTGCCACTGATCTCATCCTCTGTACATCGATCTGGCCAAGAATGCTAACCATCTTCTGGTTCCATTCGGGGGAGACTGAATTCCCTCACCCACCCGTTCTGCTTCCATTACTTTTCAGTGACGTTTTTGGCCATGGCTTTGGATCACTATGTGTCCATCTGCCATCCTTTGGGACATTCCACTGACCTAAGTGAATGTCAGACATGCAACCAACCTTGGTGGCCAAGATTGGCCTGGTCATGGTGCTGTATAATTGCAAGCTTGTACTGCCCGATATCCTCCTTGGAAGGTGGTGGCCGCATTGCAGGTCCAGCATCGTCAGCCTTCGCACAGCCTGAGCCCCTAGGCAGGGCCTATTAACTATCAGCGGGGCCGTGCTGCCACGCTGCCTAGAGGGAACCTTGCCAGCCCTCTGCCTTTAGTGACACGTGCAAGTCAAAGCAGGCGTGCCCGCTGCAGCGTGTTAGTGACTTGGATTCAGCTGGACTCAGACCCCCGGATCTGTTGAGACAGGAGAATCCATTCAGCCTCATCCCCAGTGCACTGCACTGTAGAATTACCCCCATTAACTGGATGAGCAGGCGGAGAGTCCAGCCCGGGGCATCCAAGAGCCCTACCGCCAGGGCAGGGCTGGAAAGTCTGACTCAGCTTAGACCCTCAGATTCCAATTCCCCCTGGGCGAGCGTGGGAGGAAATGGACCAAGAGAGAAATCTCTGCCTTGCCCACAAGGCTCCCCTTCTTCCAGCACAGCCTGGGGGGTGCAGGGAGGAGAGGCCTCTGTCCCCTGGAGCCCCAGCTGCCCTCCATCCACAGGAGCATTTTCTTGGTGTTGCCTTTAGCGAGTCTCTTTCCCCAAAGTAACCCCAGTGACTGTGATGTGTTGATAGGTTTCTGAGTGGGAGCAAACGTGAAGTCTAGGAGTTCACACCTCGGGGCGTGTCTATACTATGGGATAAGGTTAAATTAAGATACGCAACTTCAGCTATGTTAATTGTGTAGCTGCAATCAAAGTAACTTAACTCAACTTTTGGCGCTGTCCACACTGCAGGAAGTCGAAGGGAGACCCTTTCCCTTCAACATTCCTTACTCCTTGTGGAAGCAGGACTTACCTGGCATTGACCAGAGCACCTGTCTCAGTTCAAATTAGTGTGTCTTCACTAGACCTCTAATTTGAATGCAGGAAAATCAATAGTGGCAACTTTGATCTTCTCTGTAGAGTGGATGTCTCCTCACAAGGAACGGGAGCTCAGAGACTTCAGCTGATTCTGAAACACCATGGCTACGTCTACATTGGCACCCCTTTCCGGAAAAGGGATGCTAATGAGACGAGTCGGAATTGCAAATCCACGGGGGATTTAAATATCCCCCGCGGCATTTGCATTTACAAGGCTGCTGCTTTTTTCCGGCTTGGGGATAAGCCAGAGAAAAGCGCCAGTCTAGACGCGATTCTCCGGAAAATAAGCTCTTTTCCGGAGGATTTCTTATTCCTACTTCAAAGAAATCACTTGAAAGGGGTGCCTATGTAGACGTAGCCCATGAGAATCTGCTCAAGCTTCTTCTTCCAGCCTTTTTTCGGCCTCCCACTGAACAATCCTGCCAGAACAGGAGTCCCTCTTGGCATCGCAGAGAGACCGAGGATGTATCACAGGCTGCGTGTAGACTACAGGCTTTTGTCGACAGAAGTTTTGTTGACAGAATCTGTCGACAAAGCTTCTGTCGACAAAGAGCGTCTAGACTATATACAGTTCTGTCGACAAAGCAAGCCGCTTTGTCGACATGAGAGTGGAGACACAAAGGACAGTATAGACGCAATAACACTTTGTCAACAGAACTCTGTCGACAAAAGGCATTATTCCTCATAGAACGTATGTCGACAGAACTCAGCGGCAGTGTAGACGCAGGTATAGTTTTGTCAACAAAAGTGAAGTTTAAATATCCCGTGAATCATTAACATAAGCATGGCTGCCACTTTTTTTCGAAATTGAGTTTTTTTTTAAAAAAAAAACCAGCAGTCTAGAGATGGATCTGTCGAAAATAAAGCCTTTTTCAAAAGATCCTGTAAACCTCATTTTTTGAGGAATACAGGATCTTTTGAAAAAGGGCTTATTTTCGACAGATCTGTATCTAGACTGCTGTCTTTTTTTTAAAAAAACTCCGTTTTGAAAAAAAGCGGTGGCATGTCTATGCTAATGAATCGTGGGATATTTAAATCCCTGCTTCATTAGCAATTTCGATATGTTTGATTTGCATCCCTCTGTCGACAGAGGGATGCAATCTAAACTTAGCCTCAGTCTCTAGGGTTATGTTTACACTACACTGCTGCTGTCAGTCTTCCAGGGTTTGAATTAGTGGGTCTAGTGAAGACAGCTAATTCAAAGTGAGAGGGGTGCTCTGGTCAATGCCGGTAGTCCTGCTTCCATGAGGAGTAAGGGAAATCAAAGGAAGAGAATTTTCACTTTGATTCCTGCAGCCTGGACAGCGCCAAAAGCCAAGTTAAGGTACTGAGACTTCAGCTACGCAATTAATTTAGCCGAAGTTGCGTATCTTAATTCAACTTCATCCAATAGTGTAGACATACTCATGGTGATCTTGGCCAGTTCATGTCGCCCTGTGTCTCAGTTCACCTATCTGTGTAATGGGGATATGTTCATTGTCGCTTTTCTTTGCTACGGTGTTATAAAGATCTTCCAGTGAAAGATGCTGCCCAATGTGATGAGACAAGGAGTCCTATGGCACCTTATAGACTAACAGATTTATCGGAGCATAAGCTTTCGTGGGCAAAGACCCACTTCGTCATCTAAAAATGTTAATCTATAAATTGCACAGGACTCCTCGTCTCTTTTGCAGATTCAGACTAACACGGCTACCTCTCTGATATGCGGTGAGAGTTACTTATGAGAATCACTGATCTTTGACCCATTGGCAACAACACATCTGGAGAAAGTGCTCGTGTCTCCCCTTTGTCATCTTCTTCCAGATCTTTCTGTCTACTGTCAACCCGTCCATCCAGGCCATTTACAGGGCATCAAACCCTATGGAAATCTCAGTTTTTCTTGCTAATCAGTTATAACTGTGACTCAGCCCAGATCCCAGGAGTTCCCCTCTCCCTGTGGGAAGGTCTCTTAATTGTTGTTTACTTCTGCAGCTGGATAAATAGCCCAGAAGAGCAGCCAGGACTGTCTCCAGCATGTTTACACAGAGGAGCCCATTTCTCCATTATAGGCTGAGTGAATCCGACCAGGTTTGCACGGAGCTATATTATAAACAGCTCACCAACCTGTGTCGGCTCTCAGCCTGGGGTGTGTCGGGAGCTGCTGTGGGGACAGAGATGTGGCGCACGGTGAACTAACGAGGATTCCCAGGGAAGACACTGATGTCTCCAGGATCACAGGTATCTGTTTCTTGCTTGACAAGGCCAGTGCAAGTTGGGCATGATGGGATAGAGAATAAGTCTGTGGCCCTTTCTGCTCTGCATAGTCATTAAATACCCAGGACTCTTGTCACAGTGATAACTTTGCTCCAGTATCACTGGCCAAAATGGCTCTCTTTTTCAAGGCACCTCCAGCTGGTAGCCTCTAGTCCCAAAGGATATGTCTAACTACATTCCCATGCTTCATTTTCATAATGGTGGCTGTGCGGTCTCTCGAAAAAGGGCTTTTCAAAAGTAAAACCACCATCTAGATGAAAAAAAAATCCCAAGGAGTACAGGATCTTTCAAAAAGGGGGGTTTTTTTTGGTCAAAATAACCCCATCTAGATGGCAGTTTTTCTTTCAAAAACCCCTTTTTTGAAAGGCCGCGCGGCCACCGTTATGCAAATGAAGCGTGGGAAATTCAAATCCCAGCTTCATGTGCAATTTTGATCTGTCTAATTTACATCCCTCTTTCAAAAGAGGGATGTAGTTGAGACGTACCCAAAGTGGCACAGTGGAACAGTGGATTGATCCTTCAGAAGGAAAGGCATTAGTAGATATGTGATACAAGCCATATTTTAAGACATGGCCCATGGTTTTCTTAGGCTCCACTGAGACAAAACTTCCTTTGAAGTAAAACCTGAGTCAATACCTCAGGAATCAGATGTGTGTTAATGCACAGACACTGTCACCTCCTCCCCTGCCTTTCAGGACTCTGGACGTTAATGAGGACAGACGGGGTGGGCAGGCTGTTCCCTGAATTTTATCTGCTGTCACGTGTACAGGTGGAAGGGCTCCTCACTGGAACCATTATCAGTGTTCCTCCAATGGGCAGGTATCTTTTTTTCCCTAGCTACATTTGAGAGGTCGGCTGAACTGCTGTGCCTGAAATTTTCCATAGAAAGAAATCCTGTCGAAAGCAGACCCCTAGCTCAGAAATTTCTTTCCAAACGTTGTGAGTTTGGCAAACAGAAAAGTGACTGGCAACAAGAACTTCTAAGGTATAGGACTCCATTACTGAAGGTGATATCAGCACCATCTACACTGGCCAAATCCATTGCTTATGTAGGCATTCGAACTTGCAAATGAAGTCCGGGATTTAAACATGTAATTCGAACTACCGTTAAACCTGCTTGCAGGAGGCTACACTGGCCAAATCCATTGCTGAAGCCCAGACAGCAAAGCAGTTTGCTACAATAATGTCTTCAGAAGACATCCAAGAGGCAGAAGGGCTATTGTATAAAGAGTTTGAACTAGGGTGGCTAATGTAGGAATTCGAACTTGCAAATAAAGTCCGGGATTTAAACATCCTGGACTTCATTTGCATGTTCCCGGGCACCGCCATTTTTAAATGCCCCGTAGTTCAAACTACCTGCCCATGGCTACACGCAGCATGGGCTAGGTAGTTTGAATTTAAGTTTCTAATTCGAACTACCGTTAAACCTCCTTGCAGGAGGAATAAAGGTCATTTGAATTAGGAGCTTTAATTCGAACTAACTAGTCCATGCTGCGTGTAGCCATGGGCAGGTAGTTTGAACTACGGGGCATTTAAAAATGGCGGTGCCCGGGAACATGCAAATGAAGTCCAGGATGTTTAAATCCCAGACTTCATTTGCAAGTTCGAATGCCTACATTAGCCACCCTAGTTCAAACTAGGGTGGCAGTGTAGACATACCCAGAGATACATGTGTTCATGTGTTGTCAGAGTGCATAAATATAAATGCCGGATCTAATTTCTTTATCGGTTGATTTATAGGGTTCAAGGGTGGAACTTTCGTTAGATCTGCCAGTCTGATTTCCAGTATAACATACATCATCAAATTTCACCCAGTCACCCCTACATTGAGTTCCATAACGTATGTTTGACTCAGACATGGTCTACAGTGGAATTTTTACAGCATAGACTCATAAAGCGACAGGGTGAGTAGGTTTCACAGGATCATAGAATCATAGAACCATAGGGCTGGAAGAGACCTCAGAAGGTCATCAAGTCCAGCCCCCTGCTCTAGGCAGGACCAATCCCAACTAAATCACCCCAGCCAGGGCTTTGTCAAGCCGAGTCTTAAACACCTCTAGGGATCAAAACTCCACTACTTCCCTAGGTAACCCAGTCCAGTGCTTCACCACCCTCCTAGGGAAATAGTTTTTCCTAATATCCAACCTGGCCCTCTCCCACCACAACTTGAGACCATTGCTCCTTGTTCTGCCATCTGTCACTACTGAGACCAGCCTCTCTCCAGCCTCTTTGGAACCCCCCTTCAGGAAGTTGAAGGCTGCTACCAAATCCCCCCTCACTCTTCTCCTCTGCAGACTAAACAGACCCAACTCGCTCAGCCTCTCCTCATAAGTCATATGCTCCAGCCCTCTAATCATTTTGATTGCCCTCCGCTGGACCCTCTCCAATGTGTCCACATCCTTTTTGTAGTGGGGGACTCAGAACTGAACGCAATACTCCAGATGTGGCCTCACCAGAGTTTTTGCAAAGGTCATCTAATATTTTGTCTTGTATTTTAACGTCCCTTATGAATTCTGATATCTTTCAGTGTGCATTGATTGCTATCGATTTTCTCTTCATCCTGTTTGTTATATATTGCTTTCCACATGGACCTATCTTTGCTGCCTTCAATGTGCCATTAACTCGTGTTTTTAGCCAAAGTTGTGAACTTCCTGCTTTATGAAATCAAGGATTTTTAGAATAGTGATAAAAATGTAGCCGTGTTAGTCTGGTCTAGCTGAAACAAAAGACAGGACTATGCAGCACTTTAAAGACTAACAAGCTGGTTTATTAGGTGATGAGCTTTCGTGGGCCAATTTTCTTTTGTGGAAGAAAATTGGCACAACCGTATCACTTTGGTATACATGGTCATGCCAATTTTCTTCCACACATTGATCTGAGGAAGTGGATCTGGCCCACGAAAGCTCATCACCTCATAAACCATCTTGTTAGTCTTCAAGGATTTTTAGCAATCTAATAAACTCTTCTTAAAACACTCACAATTTTTCTTCGTATTTCTGGATCTAAACTCCCCCCCCCCCAATCAGTTTTTAATGATAGCTGGCTTCAGCATTTGGGGAATTAGCCGTTTCATAGTATTAAGTATCCACAGATGTTGCTGATTAGGAAGTGTGCTTTGTCCATTGGAATGGAATCAGTTATAATCTTTTACTTCATTCATACCCTAACCTATGCCCCTTCTTTGTCTCTTCTCTATACAAACCTCTCCCAGCGGTTTCAATCTCTCTGATTTGGAGCAACTGGGTGCATGAGGAATTCGTAACTGGCTTTCACTTCTTTAAGGAAGAATGAGAGAAAATCAATAGCTATATTTGTGTGTCCAACTGATGTGGATAAAGTTATTCCATATCATGATGTGTAGCAATTACTGACACATGGAGTTATTCCATACCCTGATGTGTAGCAATTACTGACACATGGAACACCATGAAATATGGGATTGGCATTAGTAGGACCAGTTGTTCATAATACATTTCAGAGAATAGGAATAATGTCATTTTTCAGTGTGTGATAATCAACTCATCTGCTTCCCCAATGTGAAAAGCCTGTCATGTCTCATATTAACATTTTCTCTCCATACAGGCTTTTCTACTGCCACTGACGCTCTGGGTCCTGGGGGCATACAGGAAGTCAGGGAAACGTACCGTGAACTAAGGACACAATATTGTGCCTCAGGGTTGAACACTTTCTCGACTTCTCCATGTCAGATTACAACACAACCAAATACACCAACCCCTCCACCTTCATCCTGCTAGGCATTCCAGGCCTGGAAGGAAAGCATGTTTGGATCTCCATCCCCTTCTGTGCCTTGTACGCCATCGCCGTCTTCGGGAACTTCACCATCCTGTTCGTTGTTAAGGTAGAGCCGAGCCTCCATGAGCCCATGTACTATTTCCTCTGCATGCTGGCTGTCACCGACCTGGTCCTGTCCACCTCCATCGTGCCCAAAACTCTGAGCATCTTCTGGTTCAATTCCAGGGAGATCCATTTCAGTGCCTGCCTCATCCAGATGTTCTTCATTCACTGCTTCATAGCAGTCGAGTCTGGGATCCTCGTGGCTATGGCTGGGGATCGCTATGTGGCCATCTGCCATCCCCTGAGACATTCCACCATCCTAACAAACCACATGGTGGCCAAGCTTGGCCTGGCCGTGGCTCTGCGCAGCAGCACGCTCATTATGCCCAGTGTTCTTCTGGCAAGTCAGTGGTCATATTGTCAAACCAACATCATCCCCCACTCCTACTGCGAGCACCTGACCGTGGTGAAGCTGGCCTGCGCTGACATCGGCGTCAGTTCTTACTACGGCCTTTCTGTGTTATTCTTTGTGACGGGTCTGGATGTGTTTTGTATCGTTTTGTCCTATACCCAGATTTCCAGGGCCATCTTCAACCTCCCTACAAAGGGTACTAAGCGCAAGACTTTGGGGACCTGCGGCTCTCACCTTTGCGCCATCTTAGCCTTTTACATCCCAGGTGTGTTCTCCTTACTCACGCACCGATTTGGCCACAATGTGCCTCAGCATTTCCATGTTCTTGTTTCTAATGTGTACCTCCTGGTGCCCCCCATGTTAAATCCTCTCATCTATGGGGCGAGGACCAAACAGATCCGGGACAGGCTGCTCCGTCTCCTGAGTAGCTGGACTTTTTTCCCTGAAGCACCTATTGGACAGTCAAAGGCTCATTAAACCCTTACCTTTTCCCCTGAAGTACCTATTGGACAGTCAAAGGCTCATTAAACCCTTCCCTGACTTTACTCTGATGTTTCCACATGACAGACTATGGAAGCGGTCGGTGTAGAATTCATTAAGTGACAGGTTTGCCACCAATCTAATTGTTCATAACTGGACTTCTAAGGCTATACCTCTTCCCCTCCTCTTCTCTACGTCTGCTCTTTACCTTTCCCTCGAGACCCCTCTATTGTTTGTTCCTGTCCTTCCACCATCACCTGTTGGATCATCTTCCCCTCCTTCTCTCCCTGTTGCAAGGCAGCCATGTTAGGTTTTGGATTTGGGGGGAATTTTAACCTTCATTTTAGTGGCTACTTAGGCACTTGACTATTCTAGTTTTTTTGGGAGATAAACTTAGCTGTCATGAGCACTGTACCTAATTCTTGTATAAAATGAAGAAAATGAAGGTAATAATAAATGCACTTATCTCTAATACCAACATGTTCTGGTATTTTGTAACTAATAACAGAAAAGTACCTCGTATTCGTCTTTCTGAGGAATTGAGGCACCGACGACTAGTAACAGAAAAGTACCAGGAAAAACTTAAAAATCAACAAATAGTCTGGTAGCACTTTAGAGACTAACAAAACTTGTAGATGGTATCATGAGCTTTTGTGGGCACAACCCACTTCTTCAGATGACCAGGAGCATTGGAAATGCAGAGCCAAGAATAAATAAGGGAAGGACTTTCGTGGGCACAATCCACTTCTTCAGTTGACTGGAGTGTTGGAAGTCCAGATCCAAGAATAAATAAGGGAAGCAGGGAGGGAGGGAGAAGGAAAAAAATAGAAGGGAGGAAGAAAAAAAGAGACAGAGTGTAGATAAGCTTTAGAGGGATAGCCAAGTGATTCTGTAACAGGAAAAACTTGAAAAACAATGAACAGTCTAGTAGCATCTTAAAGAATGAATAGTTACAAGAGGCTAATAAGAACCATTAGTTAGCACTTGGAAAGGAAGATGACCAAAACCAGATTTTAAACAGACATCAAGAACCATTAGCACCTTCATTGTTTGCTTAATTGATAATGTGGGAGGCATCTGATATCCCGATTCAAACCATAGGCATAAGAATGAAGTTAAGCTCCATGCATGTAGAATAGTAATAGAGATGTAGTCTAGTCTAGTCTAGTCTAGTCTAGATGTAGCCATATAGTCTAGTCTAGGTGAAACAAAAAAACAGGACTAAGTAGCACTTTAAAGACTAACAAGATGGTTTATTATGTGATGAGCTTTCGTGGGCCAGACCCACTTCCTCAGATCAAATTGTGGAAGAAAATTGGCATGACCGTATATACCAAAGGATACAATAAAAAAAGTGAACACATATGAGAAGGACAAATCAAATTCAGAACAAAAGGGGGATGGGGGGGGAGGTAAATGTCTGTGAGCTAATGATATTAGAGGTGATAATTGGGGAAGCTATCTTTGTAATGGGTACGATAATTAGCGTCTTTGTTAAGACCTTGGCGCAAAGTGTCAAATTTAAGCATGAATTTAAGCATGAATGACAGTTCAGAGTGACAGTTCAGAGGATTAAAGTGGACTAAGTGGGTCAGACCAATGGTCCAGCCAGCTCAGTATCCTTCCTTCCAACAGTGGCCAATAGCAGGTACCTTTGTGCCATTTTATCCTTTTACATCCCATGTGCGTTGTCCTTACTCATGCACCGATTCGGTCACAGTGTGGCCCTGCATTTCCATGTTCTCTTTGCCAATATCTACCTCTTGGTGCCTCCTATCCTGAATTCCATCGTCTACGGGGTGAGGACCAGGCAGATCTGGGACAGGCTGCTCCGTCTCTTGACTCAAAAAGGGATCTAACATTTTGTCCGGGTGCTCAAGCTCTCAGACTAAGCTTCATTCAGAGCTGGCTGGTGACATGGTGCTTGGCTGTCTTCCCTGAGTCACCTACTAGCCAGTCAAAGAGATGACATTATATTTTTTCCTGACCTTACTCTCCTATTTCAGCATGACAGACTGGGGCAGTGGTGTGTGTCCAACTCATGAAGTGAGACGTTTGCCACCAATCTTATCGCTCAGAACAGTACCCATGGAGCAACCCCTCCTGCCCCTCAACTTCTGCCAACATGCTGACTCTTCTCTGCCACTTCCCCTCAAGATCCTGCCTTAATTCCTTCTCCTGTCTTCCTTCTGTCACTCACTGGATCATCTCCACCTCCCCCACATCATCCTGCAAGGGACCCACTTTAAGTTTTGGCTTTGGGGGGGGGGACTGTAACCCTCATTCTAATGACTACTTAGGCCCTTGAAAGCTCTTGATTTTTGGCAGATAAACACTCTGGCTAACGGAAAAAAGTTTTCCGTTAAAAGCATTTTTGGAACAGAGCATCTAGATTGGCACGGGTGCTTTTCCGTAAAAGCACTTTTTGCAGAAAAGCGTCTGTGCCAATCTAGACGCGCTTTTCTGCAAAAAAGCCCCGATCGCCATTTTTGCGATCGGGGCATTTTTGCGCAAAACAAATCTGAGCTGTCTACACTGGACTTTTGTCAACAAAACGATACCTGTGTCTACACTACCGCCGAGTTTTGTCGACATAACATCGACAGAACTTGGCAGTTTTGTCGATGGCTGTAAATCTCACTCTACAAGGAGTAACGCCTTTTGTCGACAGAGTTCTGCCTACAGAAGACGTTATTGCATCTACACTGTCCTTTGCATCTATGCTGTCATGTCGACAAAGCAGCTTGCTTTGTCAACAGAACTGGATGCACTCTAGATGCTCTTTGTCGACAGAAGCTTTGTCGACAGTATCTGTTGACAAAGCCTCTGTAGACAAAAGCCTGTAGTCTAGATGTACCCTTTATCTTTTTCAAACCCAATATATCATTTTTTCGAGATGGACACACCATACCTGCACACAGTTTTCCATATGTTATCCTGCCATGGATTTATACAAGAGGCACTTTGATATTTGCATCTGAGGGTATGTCTTCACTGCAGAGGTTTTCCGGAATACCAGGAGTATCCCGGAAAAAACTCACCACATCCAGGGAACATGTCTGCTCTTCGGCTTTTTTTTGCAGAAGAGTAGACGCACTTTTTTGGGGAGCCCTGTATTCCTCATTTCATGAGGAATAGTCTCTTCCAAAAAAGGAGGCTATTCCACCATTTGGCCCGGTCTACACGGGACAAATGGCGGAAAAGCATCTTTCGAAAAACCAATCAGAAAAAGCACCACAAGTTGCGGAGTGCAATTTGTGAAGCTTTTCCCAATAAAAGAGTGTAGTCTAGACATAGCCCTATTGTCTACCCTATACCTATCTCTTTCCCAACACTCGGTTGGCTTTATTAACTGCCATTACACACAGACCAGATGTTTTCTTTGAACTAGTCACAATGACTCTCAGGTCTCCTACTTGCGCTGTAACACCTAATAGACAGCCCAACATTTGGCATTTGTAGTTGGGGCTGTCCGTTGCCATGTAATGACCATGCATTGTTCAACAGTACATTTCACCTGCCAAGTCCCCCAGTTTTGTGAGATCCCTTTGTAACTATTCCCGCCATTTCTTTCCTAACCTTCAACTGCAGCACCTGGCAGGGCTCTCAATATCCCATGTGCAATTTAGGGGGAAGCCTTTGGCCTCGCTTTATGAACACGTTCCCTGCCCCCCAGGTGCAAGTGGGGAGCAGCACAGAACTCATCCCACATCAACCGTCAGCAGTTCCGAGTTTCGTCCGGGTCTCATCTGCTCACTAGGAGTAGATCTTCAGGTACAAAGCTCAGGAGGCCTATGCCCCTCCCCCCGCTCCCCTCAATGTTGCCCTGCCCAGCTGGGGTCTCTCGACTCCGGCGTTTGGACAGGAGCTGCTGCAGCCTGACATGGAACCACCAGGGGGAGAGGTTAATAACACGACACCTCCCCCAGGCCGCAGTACCTGGGCGCTGCCAGATCCTCTTTGCAACCAGACTTTCTGTTTACAAGGTGGGTACCTGGCACCCCGCAGTGGCACAAGGACACAGAGGCCAACCAATGGCCTGGTTGGGTAAAACCCCAGAGGGGTGGAAACCCTGTTAAGTCACATGTCATTTTCTAACCCCCGAGGGGTGGTTTTTTACCCCATGGAGAGCAGCAGGACATGGGCCCTGGGGCCTAAGGTGCAAACCCAGCAGCATGCACATGGCAAACACTGGGTGAGCTGGCTGTGTCACACGGTGTCACCCCACACACCCTTGGTGCTGGATGTCCCACTGGGCCTGAGCCTGCCCTCAGTACAAAGATCAGGGGTGAGGAAGGGGGGATTGTGGGTATTTGATTCCCCTTGTTATGTGGCATGTGGTTTTTCCTGTCCTGTAGTGAACCCATGTGTGTGCCTCAGTTTCCCTGGGCATTGCACTAATGCCAAGGCAGGGAGGGGGATTTCAATGTGACAGACTTCCCCACGGGCACAATGGCTTAGGCTTCCATATCCTGAGCCCAGGCCAGGAGTGACCGGGGACCCCTTTTCCCCAAGAAGCAGGACTGAGGCCAGTAGGAGGGGCTGGCTGAAAGGCTTGGACCAGGGAGCAGAGTATGTGTGTGAGTCTCGGCTGGCTTGAGGTGCAGGGAGCGTGGTCATGGCCTTTTACTCCAGGCCCTCTCTCCCAAGACGGGTGGTGCCAGCTGCTTCTGGCTGCTGTGCTGACAAAACTGTGCTATGCTGTGTCCCTGTCGCCTAGAAAACCTTCTGTTCTCCCTGCTGGCTGGCAGTCTCCTCAGGCTGCGGATGGGGCCTGGTGGCTCCCCGCCCCTCGGGGACATCAGGCAGCTCTGGACAAGGCTCGTTACCAAGGTGACATCTCTTCCCCCCACTCTCCCCAGAGCCCTTCCGGGTGGGCTCCTGCAGCAAGTTGGCTCCCTTGAGTGGGGGTGCTTCTAGGGCCTAGCCCCCAGGACTCCCTCCATCCGTCAGGTGGTGCTGTCTGCTTCAGGCCTCCTCAGCGTGCTCAGCAGCCC